CGCCCGGCTATTTTTTGGTTGCAGCCATCATTGTTGTTTGGCGGGTCCGGGCTGGGGATTCGAACCCGCCACCTTAGGTGTACGTGGCTGGCACCTTAGCCGGTTGAGCTATAGGTGCCGAGCCTCTTTGTGGGTTTTTAAAATTAAGTACAGCTGGGCGGCGCCTGTGGCTCAAAAGGGTAGGGTGCCAGCCCTATATGCCAGAGGTGGCAGGTTCAAACCCAGCTCTGGCCAAAAAAAAGAAAAATTAAGTGTAGCATTTGGTTGTGACAAAAATCAGAAAAGGAGGGGAGAAAGAGAGATGTAAAAAGTTTACTTATTGAGTACAGTGAACACAGACTGAGCAGTGGGCACACTAAAAGCCCTGACATAAGCATTATAAAAGGTATCAGTGTAACAAAAACATCCATATCCCTTTAATATTTTGAAATTTAAAAAAAAAAATCAGAAAATACTGACAAGCCAGAGCTGAAAAGCACCTCACAATTACAGAAATGTTGCTATTAGTTTAGTATATACTTTCCTAAATGGTTACCTACAAAAGTAGAGTCACGTTGACTATAGTTGTCACTGCTCTTCTTGCTGATCGGTCCTGTCTGTCTTCTTCTGTTAATGTCATGTTCTACTCCTGGGATAACTTAAGTGAATTCCTATGTTTTTCTCTTAAGAATCACCCTGGGGTTGACATCCTTGATGCGTGTATCCTTGTTTTCTTAGGGCAAATCATTAAGGATGAGGACTTTGTGAGTGGATGTCATGTGTTCAGTGTTTTGGTGTTGTAGGCAGGGACAGCATGAGAGTGGAGACTTGGGAATCTGTTTGGGAGTGTGGGGTCCCTGTTACCAGAGTGGACTGGGTCTAACTGTTGCTTAGGCCATTTTCTGTTCCTGGCCTCATTATAGGTCCTGCCTTCAGGAGATGAGGCCTCGGGAGCTGTGAGAGGTTGTTGGAGTGAGGGGTGGGGAATGGCTAGGAAAGTGAAGGCAGTTGGATCTATCCTTCAAGTGGCCCACCAGTGTAGGGAGCAGAATGGTGTAGATGCCCTTGTCAAGAGGGGATGGGATGGATATGGCCACCAAGGAAAGGGAGCACCAGTGTGAGCTCTGGCAGGGGAGGGTTTAGGACCCTACCTTTATTAAAGACCTCTTTCCTGCCACTCTACAGGTGACAGTCTTGGTCATGTGCCATACAAGGGAGCTGGCCTTCCAGATCAGCAAGGAATATGAGCGCTTTTCTAAGTACATGCCCAGTGTCAAGGTGAGTCCCTCACACTGGGGTAGGCTGGGTGCTATGTGGTCTTCTGTAGCTTCCCTGGCCTTGGCTCTGGCCCCAGTTCTGGTCCTGCCAACATTTACCAAGTTTGGCGGCAGTAGCTGTTACTGAGGTTTGTGGTAGTTTATGTTCCTTAAAAGCCAGATGAATTATGTATGACTCTCTGGGGCCTGTGCAGGCCCCAGCATGGGGCTGCCTTTCACTGGAACCATGCAGGCTTTCAATCCTCCTGTTCTGAGGTGCCAGTGCTGGCTATTGGGTACTTGGGGGGTGGAGGGTTGTTGGGTCTGTGCTATCAGGGCCATGGATGGGGTGCCAGCATAAAGTAGGGTGTGAACATGCAGCCCCCAGACAGGCGGAAGCCACTTCCTTTGCATCCCTATAGGTGTCTGTCTTCTTCGGTGGCCTCTCCATCAAGAAAGATGAAGAAGTATTGAAGAAAAACTGTCCCCATGTTGTGGTGGGGACCCCAGGCCGGATCTTGGCCCTTGTGCGGAACAGGAGCCTCAACCTGAAGAATGTGAAGCACTTTGTGCTGGACGAGTGTGACAAGATGCTGGAACAGCTGGGTGAGTGTCCCTACTGAGCCTGTGGGGCTCCCCAGGCCCACCCAGCATACCTTCCCCTCCCTATACAGCCCAACTTAAGAGCCAGTGTCTAGGTGGCCCTGACTGAGCAGGCCAAAGACTCCCTGAGTGGGTCTCATGGGTGGCTGACGCATAGGTCTCCTGAAAATGATTCTAGGGAACTGTCTATAGTGTTAGCAGAGTGGGACATGCTGCTTCTGAGCCCAAGCTGAATAGGACCAAAGGGCCCACATGAGCCAGTGTCCCTGCCTAGACATAGAGGCGCACAAACACATACCTGTAGGAGTATTATGGGTTAGTTTTAGGCCTCTGCCTGCCCTCAGTGAGCCCCGAGAGGGCCGGTGGGAGATGGGCTTGTGTCCTGGGAGGTAGCTACAGCTCTCACCCCAGCGGCTATCTCTGCCTCAGGCTCCCCTCCCTGAAGCGTGGCTCGAGGCGCACGGCACGGCTGCTCCGCTCTGGCAGCGTGTAAGTGGATTGCAGCTCCTCCAGCGCCTGCGCTGGCTTGTCCCCCGAGTCCAGCCCTTCAGGCACCTGGGACTCGCCCCTCCCTTCTCTCCCTCGTCATGGCGCCACTGGCTCCCTGGCACAGGTCCGGAGGGGTCTGGGTCTGGTCTGGGGTGGGGGTCCTGGTCCAGCAGATACTCATGTCCATCTGTTTTTTGCCCTCCCCTCCCAGACATGCGGCGGGATGTGCAGGAGATCTTCCGCCTGACGCCCCATGAGAAGCAGTGCATGATGTTCAGTGCCACCCTGAGCAAAGAGATCCGCCCTGTCTGCAGGAAGTTCATGCAGGATGTAAGTAGGGCAGGGCCCTGGCCCACCCACAGTGGTGGAGACCTCAGCACAGCAGCTTCAGCCTTCCCCAAGGGCATGGGGCCACCCACACTGCCCACATGGCACAAAGGATCCTGGGAGGCTGGTGAGCCTTCTTCCTTCCCCTTAGTGTTGTCAAACTGGGAGTCCAGCTTGATCATGTCTGAGCCGGACCAGAGCTGATTCCACCTTTTGATAGCATGAGCTTTACTGAGATTGGGTGCTGCAGGCCCTTTGGGATGCATCACACAAAGGAGTTTTCTTTGGAAGGTTCTGTCTGGGCAGCCAAGATGCTCAAAAGTGAGTCTTGCTTGCTCTTCCCCACCTCCCTTCCCCCACAGCCAATGGAGGTGTTTGTGGATGACGAGACCAAGCTCACACTGCATGGGCTACAGCAGTACTATGTCAAGCTCAAGGATAGCGAGAAGAACCGCAAACTCTTTGATCTCTTGGATGTGCTAGAGTTTAACCAGGTGATGCTTCTGTTGGCTGGCCTATCCCAGGGTTCTGGGCCTTGGGAGACTCTGGCCCTGACTGCCATTCCTCTTTCCAGGTGGTCATCTTTGTCAAGTCTGTGCAGCGCTGCATGGCCCTGGCCCAGCTCCTCGTAGAACAGAACTTCCCAGCCATTGCCATCCACCGGGGTATGGCCCAGGAGGAGCGGTGAGTGCATGCTGCCCACGACGGCCACAGGGAGCACCACCCAGGAACCCAGTATCTGATGGCCTCCACTTGTTTCTCCTGCACCCCAGCCTGTCACGCTATCAGCAGTTCAAGGACTTCCAGCGGCGGATCCTGGTGGCCACCAATCTGTTTGGCCGAGGGATGGATATTGAGCGAGTCAACATCGTCTTCAATTATGACATGCCTGAGGACTCTGACACCTACCTCCACCGGGTGAGTGGTCCCACAGGGTGCCCCCTTCCTGGGATGGTGGTGGGGCAGGGCCCCAGCAGGCTTTCCCTCACATCCTGGGATGCTGTCTGTGGCCTGATTCTGATGCTGTCTTCCTGCAGGTGGCCAGGGCGGGTCGCTTCGGCACCAAAGGCCTGGCCATCACTTTTGTGTCTGACGAGAATGATGCCAAAATCCTCAATGATGTTCAGGACCGGTTTGAGGTGAATGTGGCAGAACTTCCAGAGGAAATTGATATCTCCACATACAGTAAGTAGTTTGGGCAGGGCAGGGATCTGGAGTATGGGGCAGAGGACCCCTCCGTGGGACCCTCTGCTCACCTGCTGCCTCCATGTGTCTTGCAGTTGAACAGAGCCGGTAACCACATGCCTCAACAGCCTGGAGCCGCCCAAGTGCTGCTTCACACCAGATGGGTCTCTCTTTTTATTGTTCAAAAGCTGTAGATTTGTGTAAGAATAAATTTTTATTATGGAAGCTTGGCTCCCATCCCATCTGTTTCTTGGTCATCTCTCAACATTTCACGGACACCAGAAGCCTGGCCAACAAACCCCCACCAACAAGCAAGGCCATCTTCTGTAAGCATGTGTTATTTAATTTTAAGTATCAACATCGAAAGGTTCATACAGATTAAAAACATAGTACACAATGTCCACAACCTTCAAAACAATGAGAACCTGCTGTTCTGAGGCAGGCAGGCCTCTGTACCGTGAGTCTTAGGCAGGGACCTTGTCCCCGCGGGCCTCTGACATCAGTCTTAGCTTAAGAGAGAAGTTGAAGCCCAGTGCTTTGGCTTCTTGTTCCAGGGCAAAGACAGATAGGAGGAAGCCAGGCTAGGGCAACAGCCCTCAGTCTGTCCACTGTACTGGCCACATGTACCAGGGTGATGGGCTGCAGCCCTGGGTCAGCACCTATCCACCCTGGGGCACAGCTAGGGTGGGGCAGAGAGGCAGCTGGAAGTAGAACTGGTGGTGCTGACTTTCCATCTTACTGGGGGTTCTGGGGTTTGGTGCCAGAGTACAGCTGCTGCCCCTCTCTGTATAAGGGTGGCCTCAAGAAGAGAGGGTGGAGGGTGCAGAGTAGGAGAAAAGGATGTTCCTCAGTGCAAAAGCTGCTGAGCCTGCAGGTGCTGTTACCTGTTGCCAGAACCATGGGATTCACATACCAGAGTCTGACGCCCTGAGGGCCTGGAGAGAAAGAAGAATGTGAGGCCTGAGCCCTGCCAAAGGGCCTTCCTGAAATCCCTTGGCCCGGACACAATCCCTTACCCGAGTTGTCTGATTGTGGCTTGTGTTAGACGAGGAAGAGGTGAACTCTGAGTACTTGTTCCCAGTGACTAGGCAGGCCCACTTCTGGTATTCCTCCCGCACCTGCTTCCCAGACAGCAGGTCAGGGAAGAGGAAGGAGCAGGTCCCAGGCCCTCCCCACCTGGATATTCCCCAGCTGTGGCCCACCTTTCTGTTGAGCAGGCAATGTAGCACGTAGAGGAAGAGGCCCTGCAGGCAGTTGAGAATGGTGAAGATGTAGGCCCACAGCCAGTTTGCCTCCTCCAAGATGAACAGGCCAAAGACCCAGGTGCAGCCCAACACAAAGAGCTGGGCAATGGCAGTGATGGTCAGCACCCTGTGGGAGGGCAGTTGCAGTGTGAGGGCCCTGCCTCACCACCAGCTGCGCCTCTCACCTTTCCTACCCCTCTTCTCACCTGGCTTTCTTTAATCTCTTCATGTCTGGATTGATTTCAGAAAACTTCTGGGTGAGCTTCCAGATGGTAGTCACAAAGATGACAGCATTGCACTGGATTTGGAGCATAGATTGTGCGTTAGAGGAGAAAGATGGTGCTAAAAGGACTCAGTAGGGACCCTGCTGCTCAGGCTCTGGGCAGGGGGTGGGCAGTTACCAAAATGATGAAGGTCACAGGTCCCAGGAAGCTCCAGAGGAAGCCATGGCTCAAGTCCAACCAGCAGCTGAGAGGGAAGGGAAGGATCCCATAAGCGCCCCAGGAGGTCCAGAACCAAACCAGAGGGCAGCCAGGCAATGACTGTGACTCTGCCCTTGTGCCCTGGCCTGAACCCGGCCCCCAACTCGTCCCCAACTCACAAACTCTGGCGGCCGTAGCCCTCCTTATAAGAGGCCACCGAGATGGCCACGATAGATAGGGGCACGCCATAGCCAATCAGGCAGAGCCAGCGGGTTCTGAGGCCCTGGCCCTGGAACACCCGCACCACGAGGAAATAGAGCTCCAGTCCTTCCAGGCTCATCCAGCAGAAGGCGGCCAGGAAGCAGTAGTGCAGCAGCCCGGCCACCAGGCGGCAGCGCAGCCCCACCTGTGGGGCGGGGGAGGAGAAGTAGGGCGACCTCAGCACAGGACTGGGCACGCGCTGCCAAAGCCTGTGGGTGGGGCCTGGAGGGGAGTGGGTGGGGCCAAGGTCTGAAGGGCGGGCGGGTTGGGGCGGGGCCAGACTTCCAGGACCCACCCCTAACGAAGCCTACAAGTGGGGATGAGCCGGGTCCGGGCGTGGCCATGCGCCCCCAAAGCCAGCTCCCCTTAAAGAGGTACATCACCACTGTGGGTGGGGCCAGGTTCCAAGCAGTTACCGGGCTAAGTGCCTCCCAAGGTCCGCCTCCCCAACCAAGCCTCGGAAGTAGGCTAGCCTCCTGGACCTCTGACTTAGCCTTCTGGTGAGGGTGGAGAGGGCCTTACCTCTCCACTTTCATTCTCGATGCCGGCCAAAAAGATGGCGGAGCCCACGAAGAGGCAGATGCAGAGGTGCAGATGTATGGTGGTGCGTGAGCCCTGGATGGGCCGCACCAGTAGGAAGGTAAGAATGCACAGCAGCAGACAGATCAACGACAGCACCAGTCCCACCTTAGTGATCAAGGCCAGCTTCCAATCCTAGGGGTAGGACAGGATGGGCAGGGTTTTGTGAGGACCTTGAGACCTTCCTGCCATCCTTGTGGTCCCGGTTTATCAAAACCCCCCATAGCCCACCTCTCTGACCTGCTCCCTTGCTCCGCCTACACCTGGGCACACCTATCAGCTGGTAGTTGTGGGATAAAGACCTCACGTTTTTTCTATTGTTTTTTTCTTTTTGAGGTAGGGTCTCCCTCTGTTGCCAAGCTGAAGTGCCAGTGGTGCAATCGTCGGTCACTGCAGCTTTGAACTCCCTGGCTTTGATGATCCTCCCACCTTAGTCTCCAGAGTGGCTAAGAATATAGTCGTGAACAACCACACCTGGCTAATTTTTAATTTTTTTGTAGAGATGGGGGTCTCGCTATGTTGCCCACACTGGTTTTGAACTCCTGGCCTCAAATGATCCTCCTGCCACAGCCTCCCAAAACACTAGGATTACAAATGTAAGCCACCACACTTGGCCAGGATCTCACACTTTGGTGATTGCTGGGCCCTTGGACTGGGCCACCAGCCTCCCCCACTCTGCCTGGCTAATTCCATTTATCCAACATGGCCTAACTTATCTATGAATCCTACTGAGGCCACATACAGAAAGTTGTGTTCCCTTGGAATGTTCTACATGGGAGCTTTTAAAGATACAGACAGAACGAGGGGCACTGGCTGCAGCAAGGCCTGCAGTGCTAGGCCTCGCCATTTAGAGGGTTTTAGAGAAGGGGCCTGGGGCCATCTGGACTGTGCAACCATATAGACGTATTTGAACAACCAGTTGGGCCATATCATGGAGAACCACCTGACTGTCTGGTCACGTGTGGGCTCTTAAGAACAGCCCCCAGCTGCTCACCTGCACATCATAGTGTGCCATGAGGATGGCAAAGCTGCTCAGGTGGTGGCATTGGCAGGTGGTGCTGTTATTCTGGCTGCCCATCTTCTGGCAGCCCATGGTTGCCCAGTGCCCACTTCCATTGCTGTTTCTCTTCCAGAAGGCACAGATGAGCTCTTGATGCTTCTGCTTAGGCATCTTGTCCTGTGAGCAGATGGGGGTGGTCAGAGAGGTTCGCTTGGAGCCCATTCTTGGGTCCTGGGCTTGGGCTGAGCTTTTCACTGGGATGAATATTTACTAAGCACCTACTTTGTGTAGCAGGTTTAGGGACACAGCAGTGAACAGGGGCCAAGACAAGTCTCTGCTATTGTGGGGCTGACATGCGAATGGGGGATAGGGTACAGACAATAAATCATAAACCTAATAAGTAACCTAGATAGTGTGTTAGAAAGTAACAGTTGTGGCTCGGCACCTGTGGCTCAAGTGGCTAAGGCGCCAGCCACATACACCTAAGGTGGCGGGTTTGAATCCAGCCCGGG